AAAATTTTTAGTGGGTTCCCAGTGTAATAGATGGGGAACCTATCTTATGTATGTTCCCTAATGTAACATAATCTAAATATATTATATTTTTTAAAAGGACACTTTTTTCAAAGATAAATTTAAAACAAAGACATATATAAGGTAAAAAGGTATCACAGAGGAAGAAGCAGTCAATTCTCTTTGTATAGGCTGTCAAGAGACTGTCCCAGAATAAATGACATATGAAATGTCTTTTTAAAGGTGAAGAGGACTCTGTACAGTAGTGGGGAGGAAGGAGTAGGTAGAGAAGATAGTATAGTTTCTTCTGTCACAGCAACCTATCACAGCCTGATTCACTTGGGAATGACGATTTGGCATTATCTGGATGACATGGAAGGGAGATAGCCAGTTGGAGTTCTTGTTCGAGAGGTAGATAAAATCTATTCACTTAAATTGGGCAGATACCTTCTGCACACAATAGTTCACTTATCTAAAGGCTTTAATATAAAATAGTATTTTCAAATTATGAAGAAAAACTGGTGGATCAAGATGACAGGTAGAAGAATGGGACATGAAAGGCAAATATTGCAGGCCACATGAACAACCAAGAGCAGATTCAACCTCAGCCTTGGAGTGAATTGGTTTCATTAAGGGGTCACTCATCTAATTCAAGCATATTTCAGGCAAATTTTTACCTACATTGACCAGATCTTGAAAGAGTCATTATCTCAAAATACTCTGAGTCCTGTCCTTAAATACCAATACTGCTTGTATTCTCCCAAGTCTTGCCTCTTTTCGACCAGGGCTGTTCCAACCTTGTCAATTGTGGTGCTGACGCTGCTCTTATTTTCTGCTATCTGCTCTTTCTTCACTTGACAGATTTCCAAAGGATGTATTATGCTCCCTCAGTAATACAGCGTAATATGTCTAGGTCTTTGTCATCTTTGTCACAGAATCAGTGACAGCTCTTTTAGGTATGGTTTTCTGAAAAGGTCGATGTGATGAAATCTTTTACTGTTTGTGTAACTTCTAGCAATGGCTGATACATCATCATACTCATCCAGCCTTTAGTACTGCACTAGGGTTGCAGAGTGGCTCACCATCTTCTGTATGTCTTTTTGTACAAATATTCCCAGAATATACAGAATCATAAGCCTAGCTCAAAGCGCAAAATAACTGTTGCAAAGACTTCTAAGGATGCTTACAGACTAACTTCTGAGTTGAAGAAGTGTAACTCATGATTTACTTCCTAGCAACAAAATTCTTTTGATTCCAGAGGGCCGCTAGGAATTATATGCTAATGAAATGTCATATTTCTCAGGAATTTCATATTTACATTTGGTGATAAATTGTTTTTTTTCTTTTTAATCCTTATATTCTACTTTAGCAGAATCCAGTACAATTCAGACAATCCATGTATTGAGAGTCTGTTATATAAAATACATGAATTTGGTGCTACAAGGACTGAAAAATAACTAAGACAGGGTTCATACTGTCAAGGACTTCACTTCTAGCTAAGAGACAGTCATAGACACAAGCAAGTATATTAAAGACGGATACAAACAGTGGAAAAACAGAGTTAGAACTTATAAACGGAACATGAAAGAAAGGAAACTTTTGGGCTAACTATAAAGGAAAACTTCAGGAAGATGTTATTTGAGTTGTACCTTAATGTGAAGTGAACTTTTTCCCACTGAACAGGAAGGAATGGGAAGAGAACCTCCTGTTTCCAATGGTGGTGAGACTAGGTTATTAAAACTAACCTTCTCATTGAGAAAAACTACAAAATGTAGAAAAAATATATTTTAAAACATCTTAAACACATCAAAGAGTAAATGAGACGGTAAGGCCAAAACTGAAGGGAAAACAGAAAATCAAGGACAAAGGATGGAAAGTGCTTTTGCCCTGATGGTATTTTGCCTATTCTGGATATAATTCTGGAAATGAACTTTATTTCTGATAACCCTATTTGGCTTATGGTAGTTGCATATATAATAGAGGGTGTGACTGAGGAAGAGAGAACAGATGAATGGAATAGAAAACACCAAAGCTGAAACTGAGACCAATGTGTAGCTGTGCAGAGGAGACCCATTCTGCTACATTAGGTGGGGGGCAAGTCAAGTGTGGGCAGGATATGTTCCCATGCTTAACACATATGCTGGCCCTTGTCTTTTCCTCACAATACAGCAACCCAAGGGGCATTTCTTTTCCATAAACATCAAGCAAAACTTGCTGTGCAACCTTGTTCTCCAATTTCTGCAATCAGTAATAGCACTAATTTCCCAAAATGCAACTGAACACTTATAGAGGAAAGGCAGTTTCCATAGGTGTCCAGGTCCAATGGCAATGTGAAAATTCCATTTAATTAATGAAATTAAGCTACTCTTAAAAATCTTTAAATTGTCCATTAAGTATAACAACAGAAGTTTCATGAATGGAATTTGTGACATTTTGATATAATAAATATATATTTAGTCTCTGCCCCTGGTTTAGCACACATCAGCTAAAACCCTGGGAATCTCTGGATTCCAAAGAGTGTTGTTTGTATGCTAATGAGATGACTAGTGGCTGGGGGCCCATCTGTAGCTTCAGAATGGGGACTGGTCACCACAAAGACTAAGGCATGATTAGACAGTTGGGACTTTCAGCCCCACCCCCTCCAATCTCCATGGAGAGGAGAAGAGCTGATGGTTCATTTGATCACCAGTGGCAACAGATAAATTGCTTTCTAATCCTCTTTAAGAATAAGATAGATTTTTATTTACTTGGACTATCCAGCTAAACCTGTTTGAAAGCCAAGGGATATGGTATTTGTCCATATAATACTTCTTAGAGATTGTAATTTAAACTTAGAATTTGATGTGTCAATGTATATAAACATATAAGTAGTAGTCATTTTTATTTAAGTATAGAAAAACCAATCCATACAAATGTGTGACCTGTAAATCTATTCTCAAAAGAATAATAGCATTAATATATACAAGGTCATCTTTCCATGTGTCTAAATCTAGTTGCTATTCTCTAACTGTTCACTTGGTACTTTTAAGATTGTCTTCCTGAAAAACCTGTAAGTGGCAAGTCAAGCTGGTATAGAAAGATGACTGTGTCCTCTGTTTTCATTCTGATTGTCTCCTTCAAAGGAAATGCTTTCCTTTATTCAGATGCTACTGTGTTTCATGGAAATCTTCAGGCTACATCTTTTGCTTGAACTCTTCTCTAATAACAGCAGTCTTAATTAATCTTCCATTCTCTAAGAATTTATAATTGTAATGTGTGCATAGTACTTTATGATATTCACTGATTATTTATGAGTGTCAGTCTTATCTCCCCAATGATACTATAAACTTCTCAATGACTCTCAAAAGACTTAAATTGAAGAAATTATAAGCAATTCACACTGGTCAATTTCAACAAGTGTTCTATGTTTCAGAACAACCATTCATTCATTCATGGGCTCTGCACACTGGTTTAGGCAATGAAGATATAGCAGCAAACAAAACAACAACAACAACAAAATTGGGGCATTGTTAAATTTTAATTCTAGTAAAAGGAGTCCATAAAATAAATAAATGAATAAGCTAAATATGTGGTATGTCTTTTTCTTTTTTTAATATGTAAAAAAAAACCAAGGAAGAGGAATAGAATGTTCTTGTAGCAGTGTCTTACTTTTAAGTAGGATGGTCTGAGAAAGCTTTGTTGAGAGTACAGGTGAGCAAAGGCCTGAAGGTGGTAAGGGAATGACCAATGCAAGTCTCTGTGGAGGGGATTTTCTGGCCAAATGAAGAAAGACAAAGCTACTGGGATATTGTCATGGAGCTCTAAAAGGCACCAGATTTCTTAGGAAAGTCACATTTACAAGTGACCAAGAGATTTTTCTGGTGGTCTTTCACAAAACAGACCTTTATTTACCTAGTATGTCAAGCCAATCTTACCTAACCTCTATTGGTTCTGTCTGAGGTTGGTTATCACTTCTGAGGGAAACTTTCAGTAACCAAAAAGACTGGATTACAATTATATACCCTTCACATTGAATGTATCTTCACAGAAAAATTGATTATTTAATCATTTACAATTTCTATTTAATGTCTAAATAACCCAATAAAATGTAAATTTCATGAGGGCAGGGATCTGTTTTGTCCATGCCTGTCTCCTTGGCACCAAATATATTATTACCAAAGCACTACTTGTGCATGTGTGGCGCGCACACACACACACACACACATACACACACACACACACACACACACACACAGTTTAACTATTAACAGCTTAATAATGGAAGGGGTCACGTTTTATATCCTTATTGTACCTGGACATACTGAAGTGCTAAACATCACTTCCACAAACACTCAAAGGCAAATCTCATCAACCTGAATATCGACATCAGGAGAAGCATCAACCAAAACACCAGATATACAAGTTTGGCCAGAAATATGACAAATACTACTGAGTCTCTATTATTTCCGACGCACTGCTCTAGATATTTAGGATATATCAGTGACCATAATAGAGATAAATTCCTCCAGTCATATATGAAGTCTACATTCTAGGTCAGGAGAAAATATATAATAATCATAGACACTAGGTAAATTATACAATGTTGTGAGGATTGTTAGTGCTAGGGGAAAAATGGAGCCCAGTAAGGGAAATTGAGAGTATAATTTCAAGTAGGGTAAACAAGGAGGCCTCATTGTCCAGGTGATATTTGAGACATGTTGAGAAACAATTTTACTCTGAGAATGAGGGAAATAAACAGTATAAGGACAGTAAAATATTTTATTAAAATTTGGATCATATAAGCAGAGGGAAACAAGGCCTAAGTGAGTCAGGGACATTAGTAAGGGAGAAGGCGTTTTCTCTCTTTGACTTATAATTTAGAATTTATCTTTTCAACAAAATTAACTTATAGTTGTAACAAAATCAAAGAAAAAGTTATTTTATGTCATTTGCCAGGAGAAAACATTAAAGCACATTTTCAGTAAAAAGTTTCTAAGTCTTTAGAGATGAGATGAGATTCTTACCATTTTTACTGATGTCGAGTTCTTTAAGATTAACTAAACTAGCAATAGTGGTCGGCAGATTTGAAAGGTCATTGTCAGGAATACTTAGTTTTCGTAGAGCTTGACAGTTGAACAATTGCTGTAATAGAACATAATCATTAATTAGATATCAATCCAGTTAAATCCATTCATACATAAACTCAGTAACAAAATGCAAGTCACTATTTTTATAAATGTGGTAGTAAAAAAGCCACCTATAAAAACCTCACTTGTCTCCATACCCATATTCTCAATTGTTTTCAGAATGGTTTTCCATTCCATCTCCTTTCATATTTATTTTCTGCTACCCAGACTCAAAACCCCAGATATTTCACTTTTCCCCTTCTGTTTACTACTAACTTTCAATTTGCCACTGAATCCTACTGACTTCTTTTTCTTTGAAATAACTTCTGTGGTTGTCCTTTCTGTTCCCACAACTACCAGGATTACCCCAATGGTCTTTTTCTACAACTGCATTAGATTTCATAACATACTAATTTCATCATGTTAAACAGTTGTTAGTAATACAAGAATTAGAAATACATTGGTATATATGAGCTCATATTTCTTTTGTGTCCCTCCCCCAACACTATTTCATAAATATTTGATAAATCAAACATTTAATCTCTGATATTTGGTGAAAAAACATCACAAGTGATTGGTTCATTTCTGTCATCAGTCCAAAGACTACGTGGGGAAGAGCCAAGTGTTAAAGTGATGGTTCTGAAATTCAACATGCTTACAATCACTGGTGGATGGAGATGCTTGTTCAAAATGTGAATTCTTGAGCTCTACCCAAATAGATCTGGGAAAAGGGTCAAAAATCTGAATTTTTAACAAGCACACAGGTGATCTGGAAATTCTGATGTATGCTTCCAGTACCATATTTGAGAACCAATAAATTCCATTTTTTTAAGCTCTTTCCAACTCATATTAACTCCTGCATGATATGAACAGCTGGGACAAAATTTTTGATTCATTTCTGGAAGAATTATCTTAATGAGATCTTTTCTGTTTGACATTTCTAATTCTGTTTTGCTGAATTTCAACAGATTAAGTTTCTGGTATTCATGACTATGCAATTGGCTTACAATACACTTAACTATCACTTGTTCTCACATGTAATTCATTATTTATAGGCAAGCAAAAACAATGTAGCACATGGTTGTTATTTCTTAACTCATTAGCTTTTCAAAAAATAGATTATGGTGGATGTTACTTAAGATAAAATATGCAGTTTCTTACTTTGGGTCAGTCATTTTTGGCTCTTTACAAAGATTATTTAGAATACTTCATGTAGTGTAGAATTAATTTTCAACATCTTATACATAAGTGTTGCTACTTCTTTTTATAAAACCTAAAACATAAAACTTTGATGGATATTTTGATGGATAGTTTCCACTAACTACTAATTTTCCTATTAAAGGAATAGGAAAACAGATGTCTATACTCATGATAAAAGTTAATGTAAACTTATTTTCAGTCTCTATCATTCTGATAGCACTATTACATCTACATCTGCATGCAATGTGGTTACTTATAGGTTCATAGATTAAAAAATCAATTGCCTCATCATGATTTTGGTAAGATTTACTGACTTCTCTTTAGTCTGATTACTATTACCATTTTAAGCAATGTTCAGGCTTGAACACAATTGTCTGTTGTTTTTTAAAATTTGCATCAACATCTCAACTAAATTAATAGAAGTCCTAGTATTCTTCTTCAACTTTAAATGAGGCCACATTAGGAATAAAAGGTATAGAAACTCCTGAATGGCCTATAAGAGTGAGAATTCAAGATCTCTGGTATAGAGATTAAGAACATTGCATATGGAGTCAGGTTGATGTGTGATCAATCTCATTCATTTATTTATTAGCTGTGCAATCTTGGGCAAGTTATCTAACATTTCTGAGCCCGTCAATTTCCTTGCCTGAAAATGAGAACAACAAATTACCTAACTTGAAGAGTTATTGAGAGAATTATATGAGTTAATATATTCATCAATTCTAAGTTCCACATTTTTTCATATATTAACATCTTTGATATTTGGAATGCATCTTTCAATCAAGAGTAAGTAATAAGTTTTAAGGACTGTCTTTTTCTTTCTTAATGGTACTACAATAATAATGTGTCTTATGATCAACGGCCTTGAACTTAATGAAATAAGGTACTCGTGAAAATGTAGAACTGTGTTTGGCATTTATTAAACTTGATAACTGCTAGCTGTTATTAATATTTATATACCAGACACAGAGGCACACCTATATAATAATTTATTTCTTACTTTTCTATGTGGTGAGGTTTTTGAAGGATGGCATCACATCTGATTTACCTTAGTATCTACCTGTTTCTTCTTTCTATATACAAAAGTGATCAGCACAGTGTCTTATACATAGTATATGCTGAGTAAATATTTTTATAAGTATGCATAATAATTACATCAAATAATTAAATGAAAAATGAAGACAGTGCTAGGTTTCAACTGAGAGTAGTAGTTCACTGGATTGGAAGCTTCAGATAGGTAAATAGTCTCAGTAGAATCTAAAGATATGAGTCATACTGTCTATAAATTGGCAAAGAAATTAAGATGGCATGGTAATGGCTCTTTCAAGATTTAAGCTTTGAATGAAAATGAGGCATAGAATAATTATAAAATAGTTATAATTCTTCAATATGGTAAAATAGAGCAAAAACAATTAATAGTTAATTGGAGTAAAACTGGTAGTGGTCATGGTTACCCTGACTTTCATTTGCAAATGTATTTCACATTTCAAAAACAATAAAATTATTTTGAGTCTTAAAATATCTATGTACTAAAAGTGCTCTTTTTCTTGAGCTCAAGGAAGCAATTTAACTCTGAAAAAAATTGGTTTGGGAAGAGTATGCAATATAAATTAGTGAGTCCAAGGTAAACATGTAGAAGTAAAGCACAAATAGGAGTTTTCCATGAGAGTTGATACAAAAGAAAAAGGCCCAAAAGTTGAAAATAAAAATATATTTGGGCTAAAAAATTATGTATATTCTGAAAGATACTATTTCAGAAAGAAGGTAGGAACAAGATGGTTGAATAGAAAAGCTCTAGGGATCATCCCTCCACACCCACACCAAATTCAACAACTATCCATGTAAGGAAACAACTTCAGAAGAATAAAAAATCAGGTGAGCAAGCACAGTACCTGGTTTTAACATTATGTCAACGAAAGAGGCACTGAAGAGGGCAGCAAAGACAGTCTTGCATTGCCTAAGCCACCCTTGCCTCTGCATAAGCCACCCTTCCCTGTCTGCAGTGTCATGCAAGTATGCTGAGTGCAGAGAAAACTTGTGTATCTTGGGGATGGGAGAGTGAAGTGATTGTGGGACTTTGCACAGCACAGGGCAGAATTGCATAGGTGCTCATGGAGAGAGCATTTAGACAAGCTCAGCCAGAGGGAAATCTTTTGCCCCCAAACAGGATTTCCAGCTGGCCTTACCACCAGCTGACAAAATGTGGCCTGAGGGCTGGAATAAATTCATAAGGCAGTCAGGCCACAAAGACTACAGTCCATGGGCAATTCCTACGGCTGTGCAGGCTCAGAGTCAGTGGACTTGGGGTGCATGTGACCCAGTGAGACACCAGTGGCAGTGGCCAAGCCAATCCCTGAGTCACCCCTCCCCCAACTTCAGGCATTGCAGCTGAGGGAGAGTCTTCGTTCACTTGGGGAGACGAAAGGGAAGAGCCCAGAGGACTCTGTTTTGCAACTTGAGTACCAGCTCAGGCACAATAAAATAAAGTACCAGGCAGACTCCTGAAGCCTCTGAGCCCAGGCCTTAATTCCTGGATGACATATCTAGACCTATCCTGAGACAGAAGGAAACATGCTGCCCTGAAGGAACCCAGGCCTAGCCAGATTCACCAAGTATGACTAAAGAGCCCTTGGGCTTAGAATAAACATCAGAGGTAGCCAGAAAGCAGTCACTACAGGTTTTGGGTGATATTGGTTGGCTTCAGGTGTGACCTACCACAGTTCCAGCTGTGGTGGCCATAAGGGAGTGGCCACATCACTCATCCCTCAGCTCCAGCAGCCTACCCCAGAGAATGAGGGAAGAAAGTGAGAGACCTTGCCTGGCAATCCAGGAAATTCTCCCATAGCTCATCCAAGTCCACCAAGGTGGTAAAACCAGGAGTCTGTAAGATTCACAGTATTACTGGGCTTGGGGCACCCCTAGTGCTGATATGGCTGCAGTGACCAAAGACATAGATCACAACCCTCAATTCCTTTGGAATATCTGGAAAGCCTTCTCAAGAAGGATGGGTCCAAACAAGCCCAGACTGTGAAGATTAAAATAAATATCTCACTCTTCAATTCCTTGGCATTGCTGAATATCCACAAGCATCAAGAACATCCAGGAAAACAGAGCCTCATCAAATGAACTAATTAAGTTCCCAGTGACCAATCTTGGAGTGATGGGGATATGTGATCTTTCAGATAAGAAAGTCAAAATACCTGTTCTGAAAACTCAATGAACTTCAAGACAATACAGAAAAGGAATTCAGAAGCCTATTAGAGAAATTTAACAAAGAGATTGAAATAATAAAAAAAAATAAAATTCTAAACAACCAAAGCATGTATATCAGGAGAAAGATAATCAGATTAAAAACATTCTCTACAAATGCTCAATCATAGGTAAAAGAATTTTTAAAAATTTCAAAGATTTTTGGCTGGGCGTGGTGGCTCACACCTGTAATCCTAGCACTCTGGGAGGCTGAGGTGGGTGGATCACTCAAGGTCAGGAGTTCAAAACCAGCCTGAGCAAGAGTGAGACCCCGTCTCTGCTATAAATAGAAAGAAATTAATTGGCCAACTAATATATATAGAAAAAATTAGCCAGGCATGGTGGCACATGCCTGTAGTCTCAGCTACTTGGGAGGCTGAGGCAGGAGGATAGCTTGAACGCAGGAGTTTGAGGTTGCTGTGAGCTAGGCTGATGCCACGGCACCCACTCTAGTCTGGGTAACAAAGCAAGACTCTGTCTCAAAAAAAAAAAAAAAAAAAAATTCAAAGATTTTTATAATAAAGAAAAAAAAAGAAAAAAGAAAAACATTCTCAGCTTTTCCCATTG